GCTGCGGGAGTTGCTCATTAACGCCTCTAAAAACAGAAGTGTTAACACACTTGTTCGAGTCAAAATAAATTTCTTGGATAATTGATTGTCATGTCATGGTTATAAGTATTGTATGTTACTTTTGATATGTATGCCTCTGATATAGCAAGTCTTCTGCCAATGAATAAGGCAATGCTAATCTCAAATACATGTCTTCAATATACACATATTTTCATCCCAGCGCACTCGGAACGCATGATAGAATGCAATTCATGGTTATTAATGAGATTCCAAATACTTTGCATATCAAAGCCCCTGACATTAGTAAATCCACTGATATATTTGGACTGACAGAACAATGGAAACTTTATCAAATTTATCTCCATTAGCCTAAGCATTTCATCAATTAACAACAAGCCTGAATATTGAACCTCGGTCTAAAACTTGAATCCAAACAACCTCCTAAATTGATAATGCTCTCCTAAGAAAAGATGATAAACTATAAGAGCTTGCATTCAATATAAGTCTCAATACCTTATATAAATAAACCATAGTAAAACATATTAAGTCCAGACCCTATAACAAAATAAGCCCTAATAAAAAATAAGGTGAAACATGGTTGAAACAAATTTAATCTACCTTTTTACAATGAAGATGCTCAAAAGGGCAGATTGACTTTTATTGAACAATCTTGCATCATCATATACCAAGTATCATATATTTTTTTATAATATAAATCCACAAGACTAAAATAAATCAATTAGAAGAATAAAACAAATATCCTCAACATATATGATCATTATAGAATTTTTATTTTTAGACGATTTTGTTATAAATAAAGTGTGGTCAGACTATTTATGAGAGTACTTAGGATTCTAGGTCTTTTAATCTCTACGGTGAATTTGTCCAATCAAGCTTTCGGTGATTTACATCATATATATATTTTTTGAGTTTTGCAGATTTGGTTCATACCAGTCTTATTCTCAAACTTAGAAAGAATTGTCAATGGACTTCAACTTCTAAAACTTCATTTCGAAAGGCATTTTTTTATCTTGTTGATGAAGTGTCCTATTTAAATTAGCAGCAAGAGAGAAAATTAACTTGGTATTGCTCATCTTAGCAACTGGAAATAAAGTTACTTGATAATTAATTTCATAGATTTGATTTGCAACTAATCTTATTTTGTATCAATATACACTTCGACCAACTTTTTATTTTATATAGAAATTTCTTTTGTAAAAAATTGGTTTCTTTCTTTTGGAAGTTTTAAAACATTTAATTTACCATTTGTTTTGAGTGTCTAGAAATCTTTTTGAAGTGTATTTTTTTCAGTTTAAGGCATCGAAAACATTTTTTAGAATTTCTATGCTTGCAAGACTTCTTGTAGTTGTTAATCTGTCTTAAGAGATATATAATGATTGTTTGGTGATTAAAACAATTTTTTGTACTTCTTTCAGAGCAACAATCAGCATGTTTCATCATCATCAGAATCATTGTTACCTTGGTCTTTTGAATTGATTTCAGAACTTTAGCTTAGATTATTTCTGTTAAGAAGAAAACCATTTATACAAGTGCAGATCATTTGGTTTCAAACACCATCAATGCGACCATACAAGAATAAATTTCTTCTATCAAAATGAAAAAGAGATTGCATCTTCATAAAAAAGAAATGTATTCTAAGCAAAAGAAGTTAATTTTCAATAGGAATTGCAAAAAAGTTTTCTCAAGTGTGAAATCCAGGAGTATATATTACCTGAAGGAATGGTAACGTTAACACTCCTAACACCATCAACAACACCTGATCCTTTGCATATCATGCAGAGGTCCTGAAAATATGGTAATAATCGGTACAAAACAATTTAAGTAAACACCCCTCTTTTATTTTTTTTTCCCTTAATGCCAACCTTAATTATTCTACCAAATCCTTTGCAAGAACCACATGTGGATGTGAACGGAAAAACTATAACCTGAACAAGCATATACATAACAGATTAATCAGACAAAAGTTTCAACAAATCAAGCTACATTGCATAACACAATGAAATAAACACTTACCTTCCCAGTACCTCTACACGTAGGACATGTCAACACCTTTGCATTGATAGGATGACCCCTTCCAACTGCATATCAAAATTTGACAATGGAATTCAAATTCTAAAATACAAAAATTGAAGGCCAGTTTTTCTGAAAGTCAAAGCAAGCTCGAAAACAAGCTATATTTGTACTCCAACTCAGATAAAATGCACAAAAATTATTAATGATGTGATTGCTGAAAAGATTATGGCCTTGAATGTCTTAAAGATCTAAAATAAAAATAAACAAGCTTCGATCGTGGACTCCAGAACTTTCCATCATACAATAGAGGATGCCTCCTTATTTCAAAACTTTTAATCCATGTTTAAATGACTATTTAGTCATAAATATTTATAGATCAATATCACAAATAACCAGCATTGGAACTATTAAAGTCACTTATTCTCTGATTCTTGAATTAATTCTTTTAGATCTTAAGCTCTCCAACAATTCATTATTAATAAGTAAAACTATCAAGCATATTAAGTGAGCTACAAATTTTCTCCGTACTTAAAGTGGATTTCAAGAGAAAGGCTCGAGAAAGATAATAGGCAAGACAAGGAAAAAAGCTGGATTGTATGTACGAATTAAATTATAGATGGAATTAGAAAATGTAAGAGAAAAGCGCTCAATATGCATCTTCCACTAATGAAAGCAAAATCACGTATGGGCCTTTATCAACCAAATTTCATGTAACAAAAAAATTGTTCTCCTCCTTTATCATCAACACAAATCCTAAATCATTTCAATGTGAAATTTATCAATTAACAAAGCACACTCAAACTTCTTACTATAGTTATTCTTATATTGCCTCACATACTCTTATAATTATCCAAAGTGATATATGGGGATTATCTCGAGTGAACATTTGAGTTGTTAGATGATCTAAATCTTTCGCGGATGATGACGCTTAAAATTACTTGGGCCTTTCTAATGAAAGAAAAGATTGAAGCCAATTTCATTTTCGGAAAGCTACTCCATAAAAATCCAATTCAAACGCAGGTTCAAATCCTTACACATAAGAGAAAAAAACAAGATCTTTCATTCCATCTTAAGGAATACCACTTCCAACAAGAAATTTTCACATATATTATCATATATATATCTATCCATATTTATACACTTATTAAAAAAATGCAACAACAAAAAGAATAAAAGACATCTTCCAGAGTTTGCTCAATCGATTATGATCGCTGATAAAGTCCAAAATATTTTTGGAGTAGACTGCACTTATCACGACCCGGCTCAGTGCTTAGAATTAACTACGGCAGGTATGACAGTCGGACGGTATTAACATCTAACTATCCATATTTTGAAAACTTCCAACGCATGTAAAAGAGTCACTAATCCACAATTTACAATAAAATCTAAAGCATTCAGAAATAATAACATCCAAAGACAATATCTTAAGACAGTACTAAACAGTATAATAATATCTGAAAGAAACAATAAAGATAAACTATCATCATAAAACTACCTAGCAAAAGTCTTCCTATGTAAATCAAGTCTCTTCTATCAGACATATCAACCTAAAATTTTTCTTCTCCAGAAAAAAAATAAAAAATATTAATTATAACCGTAAGTATAACTTATTGAGTAATTATAATCTAATTTGTAATATATTCTTATGTTATGCTATGCATGAATGATCAAAATAAAATGTAGTTCATTTCAATAAAACTTTAAAATTATTCATTCTCGTTTTAATTTAAGTATTTACCAATTTAACTTCTTTATTAGTCATCACAGGATTACAGTCATACCCGAAGGTCTCCTCAAAAATATGTCTGATGACACCCTCAAAATTGCAGCCGAAAGTACACATTTACTATTTCCTTTAACGTGCATAGGTTTATAGCATCCTCTGCAGTACCATCAGGGGGTAATCTTGTATGACATAATCATTTACTTATCATTTTATTTCCTTTAAATTACCTCCATTTAAAAACATTAAACATTCATTTTCCATTTTCTTGGTCATTTCTTTTAATTCTTAAGCTAAAACATGAATACAATCATAAAATAATTGTAAAGAAATTCTTCAATTAATTAAATTTAAATTTAATATATATAAGAAAATAATTACTCACCTTAGCTTACAAGAGATTTTTGAAATACTTCTCCACTAACTTCTTTGGACAACCACTTATATTAATTAAATGTGTGAATCATTTTATAAGAATCCTATTCTTAAAAAAATATATTTAATAAATCTAATGTCATACAATTAAAATGACACATAAACAAGTATACAACTTCTTATCTTAAAAGTTTGATTTCCTTCCTTGCACAGAATATTTCATTTTTCTTTTACAACTTTAATTGATTTTGTTTCTAATCTTCTACCTTTAATGTTTGATCAAATTAAACATGTTATTAGCATTTAATAAATAAACTAATAATTTCAATTTAAGCAAGTTTACATCATTAAGAATTAAATACACAGAAGATAAGGTTCTTACCGTTCACACATAAAGCCCAATTTCACGCACGAGCCAACTCCCTTCTCCTTGGCATCAAAATCTTCCACTTACGATGCATGCTTCAAGTGACTGTATATTAACATATTAATTAATTAATTTCGCACTCATAAATATATATATATATTCTATTACTAATGTACTTAATAAAAATCTCAACTTTACCTTAAGTCTTCGGTCAGCTGCCCTAAACCACACAAAAGGCTCAATCCCTACTTCTTTATCCTACCTTCAGCCTCTGCTTGATCGCACGAGCTCGAGCTCCCTCCTTCCTTCTTCAGTCGGGGTTTAACCCAAGGAAGTTCACGCGAGCACTGTAGAGCTCGTTCTCCTCCCTTTTCTCCTTCTTCCTCCAGTCTAAACCCGACACAGAACAGCTTGAGTCCCTCTTCTCTTCTTCTTCCCGCACGCGAGCACCGTAGGAAGCTCGACTCACATTCCTTTTCTCCTTTGTATGGCTCGACAACTCTAACTTCACGCACGATACCGTGAGAGCTTCTTCCCTTCTCGACAGAATCGCTCATTCTTCTTCCTCCTCTACGTACTAGCAGCTAGGTTGACGTAGAACAGTTAAGACACAAACAACCCTTCTTCCTTCTTCTCTTCTGCACGCACGAAAACTGGCGAAGCAGTTCGACTATAGAACGAAGGTTTCCTTCTGACTTGAACTTCTCCTTCTTTCTCTTCTTCTTCACCTATTTCTTCCTTCCTGTGTTGCTCTCAGATACTACAGCTTCTCCTCTTTCACTCGTTCTCATTGGATACAATCGAATGAGTAATACGACTCTTAAGTCGTAACCGAAAGGGTGCTTATCTTTCGTGCCTAATTAATAAAATGCTATTACTATTTTTTTTTTTACTTTTTGCTATTGCAGCACTTACTGTTGCATATCCCATCAAGAATCCTAAAATTCAAAACTCCTTGTCAAACTCTAACATAAGCATATCCCATATGTAAACCTATCTCCGTCATTCCTCCCAATGTATTAGATTGCTATGCTATTGTGCATATTGCTCCCATCGAGCAAGTAAACAAGACCCAAAAGATACAAAATGCACTTTTACTGGCTGCTCTCCTCACCAACAAGGATACAAATATTACTCAGTATTGGAAAATGGGGGCAATTACATGCATACTACACAAGTATTATGTACTTACATATCTAACACCTACCTTCATATTTACATGCATAGCATATGAATCTTTAACATCACATCAAAAATATCATCATTACTTGGTTTTTAAAAGTGAAATACACATTTCAATGCATAGCTTTATGACATCAACATATAATAAATGTAAATAAGAATGTTTAGGTGCTAGATAAGTAAATAAGTACGAATTGTGTGGTATGTAGGTAAATTTCGTTAAAAAAAATTACATTACCATAAATGTAACCTTCGTCAATGATCAATCCTTCTTTCCCAACACTTACATTCAAGAGAAAAATATCAATCTTCTATATGAATAGTTTTGTGACAATCATTATATATCTGTTAAGACAGATTATCAACAACAAGAAGTCTTTCAAGCATAGAAATTGAAAACACTGTTCTCGATGCCTTAAAATGAAAAAATACACTTCAAAAAGATTTCTAGACACTCAAAACAAATGGTAAATTAAATGTTTTAAAACTTCCAAAAGAAAGAAACCAATTTTTTACAAAAGAAATTTCTATATAAAATAAAAAGTTGGTCGAAGTGTATATTGGAAGTGTACACTGATACAAAATAAAATTAGTTGCAAAAAATTCCATTCAAATCTATGAAATTAATTATCAAGTAGATTTATTTTAAGTTGCTAACATGAACAACACCAAGTTAATTTTCTCTCTTGCTGCTAATTTAAATAGGACACTTCATCAAAAAGATATAAAAATGCATTTCAAAATGAAGTTGGGACTGAAGGAAATTCTATCTCAATTGAGAAAGATACAAACAGCTAGTAGTAAAATCTATCTACGTATCTCATGCTGAACCTAGTATTTATTTTCCCGCTAGTGTTAGTTTATGCACAACACCACGAAGGATCAGCTTGATGTTGTATACAAAATACTGAAGTGTATAAAAAGGGACAAGAAAAAGGAGTGTCCTTCAAAATGGGAACGTACACAAGTAAAGAAATATTTCCTAATGTAGAGTGGGTTGGAGCTATTATAAGTTATAAATCGACATGGGTCATACCGAGTTCATATGGAGGAATTTAGGTGCATGGAGAAGCAAAAAAGCAATTTGATATTGCTCGAAGAGGCGTTTAAGCAAAATTCAGTGCCATTGCCCATGGTATCTGTGAACGTATGTAATGCCTTCTTCAAGATCTAGAAGTCTTCACTATATGGCCTATGACAATGAGGAACAACAATTAAGCTAATACTAGCATTTCTAAGAATTTGATCCACCAAAATCAAACTAAACTTATTGAAATTGATAGAAGGTTCATGAAAGAGAATTAATTACAGATTTACAGTCCAACAAAACTTTAGGCTTTTGATATCCTCACTGAAGCTCTTGATCAATCTACATGATATAGCTTTACTTCCAAGCTAGGAATGATACTACCTTACAATCGATCAAGGCATCTAAGTCCTATATTGATCACTCTTTGCAACTAATAGCACTAAGTTGTAGTCAAAGCATCCAAAATCTCTCATCTTGCTGTAAGTATCTAACAACCAGATTTATGACACACAGCAAAGCAGCAACTAGCTATCCAACAGCCCTTAATTTTCCCCTTACTGTCATGCCTAAGCCAGTTGCCCTCATGCCCGTTGATTCCTAATGTGTAAATATTTATTTCTTATATAATTACTATTCTTTATTAACAATTTTCTTCCTTATTCTCCTCTCTAATTTGTGCGGTCAGTTAGCACTGTATCTCCTAAAAATTTTATGCCCTTTCTACCTTTGTAAATATGAAAATAACTGAAATTCCTTTCTCATATTTTCAAAAGATTGCAAGGAATCTAGTTCGTGTTAAAAGAGCTGAAATGAAAGCAAAAAAATATAATAATAATAATAAATTTAAAAAAAAAAACAGGAGCAAACAGACTTGATTGGAAATTGGTCAAAGAAATTAGCGAAGCAACATAAGGGCACCAATAACCAATGATGAAAGAGAAATCAACTGATGATGGTTTGCAGTTTTCCAGAGAATTAAAAGCATAATTAACTACTAATTTTAACCATATCAAACAAAAAACCAACCTGCACAATCATAGTGAATGAATTTGTACCGATCAACCAAAGAAAACTAATGATAAGTTTAACAATAAATTATAAAAAAAAAAGAATGATTATTTAATAAGGATGTTCGCAGTTGAAAAGATAAAGTGCACATTCAATCATTCATAATTGATGAAATTATGTGAGGATTAAGATCTTTTTGCTTTTGATTTGTACAAGTAAACGCTTGTGTAGGATCACTGCATGTACACTTGTGGGAGTTGCCCCACAAAAAACTGCTCACTTATGTGAGTGCACTGGGCACAAAAAAGAGACTGGAAATAACACCAAAATGATGACTATGACACTAGAGACTTCACTCACTGCATGAATCACAAGGAACTTGTGCCTTCAAAGAAATCTGCTTTGTGCAGCCCTTGGCAGCTTCATCAAAAGATAGATTCAACTCTACCTGTTAAAGTTCTCATAGAAGATCGTTCAAATAGTTGTCAGGGTACATAACTGAATAATTAATTATCACTTTCAGCCACTATAGAAGCCAAACCTGAATGTCAGCTGCATATGTCTCTCGCTCACTTTCAAAAACCTAAGATAGGGAAAGAAATCACATCTCTATCCGCACTCATAAGGACATTATGAACATAAAGACTTACCTCTGAAAAAACTTTGTAGAATGTGGAGGAGAAAGGATCATTTTTGGTGCGATTGTACTTGGCTGTATCCTCACTATCATATGATATGCTCTCAGCTCCACTAGAGAATCCCTTCCATTACCACAGCAGTTCTTATCAATATAGCACACTACAAAGCACCTCCTAAACTTCGCAAAAGAATCAATGATAAAAAAGTAAACGGACGTGCTATTAGAATGCATTTATTTAATTAAGTGGTAAGGAAGAAAGAGTAGAATGTCATAGAAGAGAAGCAACTTCAACCACAAAATTTTTGGGATAAGTTACCATGTCATATTGTGCTTTTTTATCAGAATCACGCAGTGTCTGAGATAAACCATTCACTGGATATTAGAAAGCAAAACAGTGAATGAAATCAAGAAAAAAGAGAACGAATAAAAATTTGCAAAACTAGCCTCATATGCTTCTCTAATTTCTTGGAACTTTCTCTTCGCTGCAGGATTATTCTTATTTGCATCTGGGTGATATTTTTTGGCAAGCTGCAGGATGAATTTTATCATGTTTCAAAATAAGAAAAAAATGAACTAAAAGTGCGCATGAAAATGCTACAAATGGCAAAGCTTGCAACAAAGATCTTCCTCAACTGACAAAATATATTTCATTGCAAAGATAAAGTAACAACTTGCTCAGCTGTTTCTTACGATGCGGAGCATCCCAAATCACGGAAGCTTGATTCCAGTAGCCTGACTACTGCGACCGCAGACAATACCGCAATCGCTGAATTGACAACCTGGCCGTCCAATTGCCGATTCCAGCCGATTTCATCCCTTCTCTATTTTTTCCTATTTCCCTACTTCTAATTAGATTACTCTATTAGAGAATTTTTATATATGTTGTACTTGGCTGTTTTGGAAATTTAGATTTTATTTTGTATGTTTTAGAGATTGTATTATATGTTTTCTATCCTAAGGAGTATTATATCCTCTTCATTTTATATGTAAGGTGCTTGTAGCTTGTGTGGGAATATATGATGTCCTCTTCATTTTATATGTATTATGTCGTTTTCTGGGTTCCACTGCTGTTTTCAACAGGGAAAGCCACCGATCAATGCCAATCAACATCCAAATGCCGCCGAATTCATGTATTATCATTCCCTTGTCGTGCCACAAACGTCTCCATGCCAAATCCCCTTGCTAAATACCGTCTAGGCACTCTAGAATGGTATCATCCTAGGAACTCTACAAGAACATGGGAAAATTACATACCCTTGAAGAAAAATAAAAAGAGAGACATGTTCCCACGTATGGCCAAATCTTTGTGATCAGCACAATTGATGATTTTCAAATGAAGAAATAGAAAACTATACAAAAGGAAGATTTTATCATGCAGATTATGAAGAAAAATGATCAAGAAAATTTATAACCATTTATTATTTATTATATGTACCGATATTATGACTTAAACTTCCCTTGATTGTGTGGAAGAGCTGTTGAAAGGCATAATCCTAGTTATAACACAAAAGTACAAGAGTTGAAGACAAAATTACAGAAATGTGTCCTAAATAATGATATTTCACATTTACCAAATAACTGCATGACGCACAAATCAATATCGGACCACTCCTAACTGTCATAAGTCCAATTCCACTATTCTACTCTTGCGTCATAGAACCTTGACCATGCATAACCTAGTGCACTTTATTACTAATCACCTCATGCCTAGAGCGTTATAGCAATGAGCCCCGGAGTTTCCACTGATGTTTCCAGGAGATAAAAATTTGAAATGATATTTCTTATATATATCACAAACGGTTCATTGCAGAAATCATTTTTATAATGGAGGCTCATAGTTTATTAAGCACTACAAATCTATATCACAAATTAACATATAAATCCATGCAAAATAAAAGACGGACACAAGAAAAATGAAATTATAATCTTGGTCTTAATATAGGCAAGGTAAACATGAGCATGGCAGATTCAAAGCAATGATCCATCACAAAGTGAACGCATTTAATCATCATGCAAAGTATATATTCTCAATAAAAATCAAATCAAAAGTATCAAAAGAAAGACATTACATTAACTACAGTAAAACAAAAGATTATCGTGGAAAACAATGGTTCCATAATTAATTATAACTCATTTCACTAAGCTTGAGGGTAAAACCTTATTCCTCACAAAACTATGAGAGAAAACCAACACTTAAACCTAATTATTACTCTATTTACAATCTTGATTGGCTGCATGGCCGTAAAAGTAAATCATAGACCATCAACAATACCCACAAAACTGTACAGTTCACAACATGGTTCTTAAGAATATCAATAAAGGCTTAGAAAGCACTCCAAGCCACTCTATACAAGCTGAATGTAAAGATGTAAAAGCAAATTAACAACAGATGAATCTCTAATTCTTCATTTATTAGATCAAAAAAACCTAAATATCAACACTCAAACTAATTATTACCATTTCTTCACTGAAAGCAGTTGCAACAAGTTTAAAAAAAGTTCATGAATATTGGAAAGAAAAAAAATGGACACAAAACATGCAACAACATTACAACCTATGAAAAATGCAGTAAACCTCATGTTAAGCGACTTCTCCTGAGGCAAACACCAACTTGCCACCACTACTCCTCTCTGTTGGATTTTTAATATATCCTATTATTAGTATTTTCTATTTTTAGTATCTTCTATTATCGGTATATTATAATTCTTGTTTCTTTCTTTTATTATGAGTATGGTGGATATTATTGTTTTCCCAATATGAGAGTCATCCTACTCTATTTAATTGCGGGGTACCAATGTGCGCAAGGAAGTAAAAGGATCGCGGTGTACAGGAGTTCTCGTCGTTCTTGATTAGCAATGATGATGGTTGTTGAAAGAATTTCTACCGCATCGATCAGCTCCAGTAATTTTGAAACCACTAAACTTCAGCCAACAGCTCCCCTGAGGTATTTTGACTAAATATTTTTCTAATAATTTACAACATTGCCTCACAGTTATAAAACTTAATGGGCACAACTATGTGGAGTAGTCACAATCAATAAAATTGGCGATCGATAGGAAAGAAAAAATTAGGTATTTAATCAGAGAATCCCAAAAACAGTTACTAATGATCTGAATCTGAAAATATGGTAGTGAGATTCTATGGTAATGACATGGCTCATCAATTCAATGGAACATTCCATAAGAAAGCCTCATATATTCTTTTCCACTACTCGAGAGATATTGGAGGCTATTTGATATCTCTATTCTGACTTGGAGAATTCTTCGCAACTTTTTTAAGTTGAAAACTCAACTTTGGATATACAAAAGATAAAAATAAATGTGATGTTACTACGTATTACAATGAGTTTAGTATTTTCTATTTTTAGTATCTCCTATTATTGACATGTCATAATTTTTGTTTCCTTGTTTTATTATAGGGAGCTATGCCAGACATTATAGTTTTCCCAATACGAGAGTCATCCTCCTCTATTTAAATTGTAATCTTTTTTCTGTGAAATTGAAGAGGACTAATTAGTTTCCCGTCCCATAAAACTATGTGCATGGGTGTCAGATGCCTGAATTAAGAAAATTATACCCCATGCAAGATTGGTCTCCAAAAGTCTAATTGAGCTGTGAATTTGACTGTAGTTCTAAAAATCTTCGCAAATTAATATTTGCTACTTTTACTCAATTCCAGCTAATGATCAAGCTTTAAACAAGCATCAATTACAAAAATTAAAAAGATTAATTTGACCCTGTTATTCAGAGTTCAGTTGACAACCTGACTAGCATTAACAAGCATATGAAGTAATATTCTGTACAAAAGCAATATACTTACAACAGCCCTAGAGCAAAGCTGACATCTAAAGTTAAAAAGAAAAAAGAGCCTTAAACAAAGCTCTAAGCGTGACACCAGATAAAGATCCATAAATAAGTGTCGGAGCTTAAAAAAAAGGGGGGAAGAGAGTTTTGGATGTTTGGGGGTTGCCCGTAAGAAGCTGTCGGTCGCCGGAATCGAAATCTCGTTGCCCGCTTCGGAAGGACTTTTTAATTTACATATATATATATATATATATAATTTTAGAAAAATATGAAATCACACTGACCTCATATTTTTCACAGTTTAAATGAAAAAGCACTCTACCTCAAATCATGTATCTACCCCGAGGGATAAACACAAGACTTGAGGATGAGACTCAATCAAATAAACTAGGAAAATATATGACATCTGTTTGAGTCTGCGAAACCATTTTATTTGCCGACAAGTTCCCCTATTTAATACAAATAATTAAATAGGGTTTATTTTAAGCTGGGTTCGGAAAAGCTCCCTATAAGGGCAAGCCCCTATAGTTAATTACATCTTAAATGACCGAAG